AAATAGAATGCCTACTTAGTCAGAGGTTAATTCAGGTAAAGGTTAGGAGTTCAGCACCTTAAAGGCTGAGTGTAGTGAATGAAAGTGCTCTGTGGAAACTTAACGAAAACTACAGATGGCACCTTGGGTTCCAGGCCTTTTATCTGCAGGCAGAGCTGTGATGCAGAGGTTACCACCCTTCTGTTAGTAAAGATTGTAGCAGGGAGGGGTTTTGCCTCCACAAATTTATTCTAAACAGAAAAAAAATGCTCAAAATACATAAGATAGGAAGAAATGCCGAGCCCATTAGCCTAAACCTCTTTCATGATTTTGGATGTTTAAACTGATGGATTTAACAGCTTTTTGGAATCCAGTGTTTGTAAGTAGAGCTACCTCTGCGTTTCATATTCTGAAAACTCTAGTGATCAATAAATTGAATGACAATTTATAAAAAAAAAAAAAAAGAGGAAGAGATTGCTAGAAGAATAGCTGTGCTGTTCTGTACAATTGCTGGTAGAATAGCTATGCTGGAATGTAGCCAGTGTAGTTCTCTATGGACTCACTGCAGCTGGACATGGTGTATGGTCTCTGCCTTCAAGAGGTCTGCTGATTCCTAGCTGGGCTGGATTTTGGTGGTGACACCCTTTCACACACATATTGCCATTTTTCCCCCTCTAACTTTTAGCACAGAAGCCCTGCTGGAATCTTCCTGTGGCTCATTATTTGATTTTTAAATTACTGTAGCTTTGGAGTACATTTTGTCTGGTGTAGCCAGGTATAGTACCATTAATGATTCTTCGTCAACAATCTATTATGTAATATAGGGTCATGGTGAATTTATTTTATTTTTAAAATTACATAGCTTATGTCTGGGTTAGTTTGCTACTACCTGGGTGGCTGCTGCAGAGTTGGTGATCCGCACTGTTTTCACTCCTACATGTAGATCAGCAGCCAAATTAATACCCAAAAATCATTTGTAAAATAAAATTTGGAAATATATTTCCAGTATCAGTGTTTCATTAAGTCATTGCATTTACTGTATTTCCACACTTTACATTCCCTCAAGTTTGTTCTCCTTGAGTTATTTTATCCCTTTCCTTGTTTTCACCAGAATATCCTGTTTTAAGGAAGTAGCAAGATTTTTTTTTTTTTTTTAAGGCACAGGGCCTATATTTAGGCATTCACTGTTGATCAGTTAGTTCCAGGGCTGAGCTAAACTAAGTAATTTGCCATGTTTTTTCTACCAACAATATTTATATTACTAACCTGTTTTTGGTTTGTCTTTTTAAGTCTCATTCTTTTATTTTTTTAAATATTTTTAAAAATGTCAATGGACCTTCATTTTATTAATTTATTTATATGTGGTGCTGATAATCGAACCTCACACAAGCTAGGCAAATGCTCTACCACTGAGCCACAACCCCAGCCTTGAAGTCTCATTCTTATTAAAATGAGTTTTTTGGTTAGTTTATTTTCTTTTTTTCTCCTATATGTGCATGAATTACAGAGGCCTGCTTTTTTGTTAAGTAATGCATACTTGACTTTTTTTTTTTTTAAAGAAGAGCAGTTGTTTCTAAAACGACTGAATTAAGATCTAGCAGAAAAAGTAAGTGGCTGTCAAAGAAGTACTAAGAATATGTGTGTACAAACTAGGAAAGATACTGAAAATGTGTTGTTTGTGCTTGTCAAAATTTAGCTTCTACTAAGTTCAGAACTCTGACTGTGCCTTCTGTTTATTCATACATCTAAAAGACTAAAAGAAAATGATTGCCCTGAACTTAACATAATTTGTCAGAGGGCAGGAAGTAAATGTGACTTATAGTGAGAGAAGATGCCATCAAGCTGTCAATAGATTTTCCATTGCACCCAACATTGTGTAAGGTACAATAATAGTATCATAATGACAATAAGAATGCACTTTGATGGTGATAGAAATAACAAATAATACTCATGTAGCATTTACTGTATTCTGTGGCATTATTCCAAGATGTATGTACATGTGAACTCATGTAATTACCTCATAACACCCTGAGGCTGATGCTACTATTACTTCCTCATAACTCATTTAATCCCCATTATACCTCCACAAAAGTAAGTCCTGTTATTAGACCCATTTAACAGATGAAGAAATGAGATTAATTTGACCAAGATCATATAATGAGTAAGTGGTGGCTCTGCAATTCAGACTAAGGCACTGTAGCTGCAGAATTCATGTTCTTAACCACAGTGGTAGGCTGAAAAATGGCCCTCAAAGGTATCCAGACCTGACTCCTACAACCTGTGAATGTTACATTAAGCAAAAGGGATTTTGCAGACATGACTAAATAAAGATCTTAAGATGGATTATCCTGGATTATCCTGTTGAACCTTAAACATAATTACAAGTGTCCTTATAAGAAGGAGGCAAAGGGAGATTTTGGCAAAAAAGGCAGCAGTGGGACAATGGAAGCAGAGAAAGAGATTTGAAGATGTTGGGCTGCTGGCTTTGAAGATGGTGGAAGAGACCCTGAGCCAAGAAGTACAGCTGTAAAGGGTCAAAGAGGCAAGGGAATGGATTTTCCCTTGGGGCCTCCAGAGGGAGAGAACACTGCCCTGCCAACATCTTGGTATTTGGTCCAGTGAAACAGTTTCGTCCTTCTGACCTCCAAACTGTAAGATAAGACCTGGGTGGGTGGTTATTTAAGCCACTGAGTTTGCAGCTATAGGAGCTAATATAACAACTATGTAATGGAGAAAATTAAGACTTTCTATTATAAGAAAACCTTCCTCAGAATTGCAAAGGAATGAGCTTTGATAATAATACCCTAGGTAGTTCCAACATTATGACACTGTTACTATATTCCCAAGTTACTTCATTTCCAGGATCACAAAAAAGATTACTCAAGTAATCTTCAGATGCATTTGTTCCATACTTGAATATTGCAGAAACCTAAGAAATATTAGGTAGAAAACATCATCTTTTCTTCAGGCCCAAGCTGTAGTAGGGAGAAGCTGAAAGGAATGGGCATCTCCTATGTGTCAGGTTCCAAGAAGGGAAGTTTTTGTTTGTTTGTTTATTTTTTAATTTAATCCTCATATATGACCTTTCTCTTAAGGGTAGTTAATATTCCCATCTTGGCAATAAAGAGTGAGACTCAAAAATAGTAAATTATGTGCAAGAAAAGCAGAAAATGGGATTAAAATTCAGACTTGAATTATGCCAAGGTGCATACTTGTACTGTGTTTACTGCTGCTACTCCAAATTGATTTTACTGAGTTCAGATTTAGACTATGGCATGTTCTAAGTAGTTACCAGGAAGAGCATTCCATTTGCAGGTCTCTGACCTGCTTCATAGTGTACAGGATGGACAGGTTCCTGGATTGTCCTGGAGATCTACATTCTTCCTACATGACTCTTAAAGTGATCTTAGTTCTGTGTTCAACTTGGTTTTCTCTATTCTTGTGTGTAAGGGTTCAGACCAAACCATTAACAAAACCTCCAGAGCTAATTAAAAAGCAGTTCTCTAGAACAAAGTCTGGAATCCATTGTCAAAACTTAGATACAGTTTTTTGTGTTCTTGTGTGATATATAAATACAAAAAAAATAGAAGTTAAAAAATAGAAATGGTAATGTAAACATAAGATTAAACTAGCTTGTATGTAATTAACTGGTGGATAGAAGATCTCAGGTTATTATTAGATTTTCACAGTGGTTTTTGATTAAAATATGATTAAAAGAGTCCCAGTTCTTTTTAAAAATCAGTTTAAATCAGACCAGTATGAGAGTACTTAGCTTTTATCATTTTCCTTTTTATCTTCTTCCTCTTCCCTGCTTTTCACTTCCTTCTCTTTGCTGTCTCCCTCCCCACTCTTCCCTTTTCACAAGCAAATCTGTAACTTATTACTTTTTAAAAAATGCTTTCTTAGAAGTTGAAAATAATTTTTCTTTTTTAAATTGATTTTATTTTTTAATAACTGTCAGCAGAATGTATTACATTTCTTATTACACATTTAGAGCACAATTTTTCATATCTCTGTTTATATATAAAGTATGTTCACACCAATTCATGTCTTCATACATGTACTTTGGATAAATAATTTTTTCTTATAACACCTGGTCAGTACAGGACAGAGATGCTGCTGAGCCATGTTACCCAAATGACTAAAGATGACAATAGTGGCCAGGCTAAGAAACCTAAATTGTTATTCCATTTCATCTCTGTTGTTGATTTGGTATATATAATTCTTGACTTATGTCATTGCTTACTTTCAGGTTTATAAAATACCTGTTTAACTTATCATAAAATACCTGTTTAATGACTTATGTCATTGCTTACTTTCAGGTTTATAAAATACCTGTTTTAATTTATCACAGTCTACCTTTAAATGGTATTTTACTATTTGACATAAAGTATAAAAGCCTTATAGCAGGATGCCTCTGTTTTTCCCTCCTGGCCTCTATGCATTTTACTTCTCTATATGTTCTAGTCCCTATACTATGTTATTATTGTATTTCTTTAAAATGTAAAATGTACTGCATTTTACTTCTCTATATGTTCTAGTCCCTATACTATGTTATTGTATTTTTTTAAACAGTTGATTTCCTTTAAAAATAAGGTAAATAGCTATATTGAAAAACAAATTAACATGCACCAAACTGCATGTTTTAGGTATGCAATTTGATCACATTTCACACACAAACACACATAAAGTCATCACTACAATCAAAATAATGATCATATTCATCATCTTCCAGACTTTTTCTCCTGCCCTTTAGTAATTTCTCCCCCAATCCAGTCAGCTTCTGATCTGCCTTCTGTCACTGAAGATAAGTTGAATTTTTTCTAGAATTGTTATTTAAATGGAATCATAAATGATATACTTTTTCAGTCTTGACTTTTTTCAGCATAATTCCTTTGAGATTTATGCATATTGTTATGTATATCATTAGAAAAATATTTTTAATGACAGACTTGCCAGGTAGATTACTGTTATTAAAGAACATGCTGAATCCTAGTCGTGTGATCTGTTCTTTGTTTTAGGTCATGACTGTCCAAGTGATGATAATCACATGAGAGCACTCATTGCTGCAGATGCTGTTTGACTCATCAGAGAAAATCTGTGCAAAAGAAAATATCCATATGCCTACTTCTATTTCTTTATTAAATGGCTTGATGGATTTCCTTTACTCTGATTCATACCAAAGCTGTCCTTTTCAACCAAAGCAAGAAAGGATCCTGCATGAGTCAGTCGCAGAATGCCATTTTTACATCACCAACAGGTGAAGAGAACCTCATGAGTAGCAATCACAGAGACTCGGAGAGCATCACTGGTAAGTCCAATTTGATAATATCAAAGTAATGTTGCTTATAGGATAATATGCAGATACCTCACTCAGTCTACCCTATATGACCTGCCATGATGAAACTTCAGCCTCCCTCTCTGGCTGGGTTTCCTTGGACTGAATTAATCTCTCCATACCCTGGTCTCCTTTCGCATTATCAAAATCTCCCTTGTATGCTATTCTGTGTCTGTGTCTGACTTCCATATGCCCTCTGGTGCACTGGTGATCAAAGACTGCCTCACCAATCTTCTTATCTCACCACAGGACAAAAACAGGGTTACCTGTGTTTGTGTACCCTACCAGCACCTGACAACAGTGCCTCGCATACAAGAACCTCTTGGGACTTACAGGGTATGCAAACATAGGTACAGAACCTTAACACCTCATATGCAATGCTAAATTTAAACAAACAAACAAACAAACTCAGAACACTCAAAAAAGTTTTTTCTAAACTTTGGTTCTAAAACTCATTTCTCTGGTTTCTGTGGTCTCTTCTAGATTTATCTGAGAATATTCATGTTTGCTGAAGATGTGTTAATATATTAAATATGGGATATAGCTACAAAACCAGATGGGAATGTTATGTAACACACAGTACCACTTTTTTAAAAAATCAAAAAAATTCCAAATACTGACAGCCATCCAAACCCAAAGTTATGTTTTTTTGTTTTGTTTCTTTAGTTCAGCTGTATGGCTGGGAGGCTGAAGCAGGAAGATTGAAAATTTGAGGCCAGCCTGGGCAACTTAGTAAGACCCCATCTCAAAATAAAAAATAAAAAGGGTTGGGGATATATAGCTTAGTAGTACAGAGGCCCTGGGTTCAACCCCCAGTATTGTTAAAAAAAAATTTAAAAATCAGCTTTATTGAACCATCTTTATTAAAATACAATAAAAACACCCATTTTAAGTGTACAGTTTGAGTTTTTACAAATGTATACACTCATATAACTACCAGTACAATCAAAGTTTTAGAACGTTTTTATCTTTCTACATAAGTTTCCTTGTAACCAAATCTTTCCACTCCTTACTTCTGGCTCCAGACATCATACATCTACTTTTTGCCACAATAGATTAAATTTGCTTATTCTGGAATTACAGATAAATTAAAAATTTTGTGCTGGCTTTTTTTGTGCTACAAAATGTTTTTGAGATTTATCCACTTGTGTTAAGGTTAGCATAGTAGTTCATTTGTTTTTACTATGAAATTGCAACATCTCTGTTATAGCAGAAAAGCAACCATAGGGAATACATAAAAGAAAGAGTGTGAATATGTTCCAGTGAAATTTGATTTATAAAACCAGGCAGAGGCAGCAAGCTGGAGTTGGCACTCCAGGCTGCAGCTTGCTCACCATCATCAGTACTGATAAGGTCATTGCTTTTGTTCATCTAGTAGATGTGTACTGGCTTCACTTTGTTGTATTATTTTAGATTTTGTTGATGCCTAATGATGTTTAGCATCTTTTCATATGTTTATTGTCCATTTATGGATATCATTTTGAATTTTCTATGCAAGTCATTTGCATGTTTCTTTAAAAAACCTTTTACTATTGAATTGTATGTACTGAATTATAAGTGTTCCTTATATATTCTAGATGTAAGATCTTTGTTAGACAAATGGATTGCAAATATTTTCTCTAACTAGCTTCCTTCCCTTTTATTAATGATATCTTTTAAAAAGCAGAGATTTTAAATTTGATGTTTATTTTAGCAATTTTTGCTTTAACAGTTCATTTTTTGTGCCATTCTGAGAAATCTTTGCATATATAAAAAATCACTAAGATTTTGTCCTGTTTTCTCTAAAAGGTTTTATAGTTTTTGATTCTACAGTTGGGTCAGTGGTCCATTTAATAGTTTTGTTTTTTGTTTTTGTACCAGGGGTGTTCAAAACTGAGCCATATCCTAGTCCTTTTTATTTCTTATTTTGAGATAGTCTTGCTAAGTTGCTTAGGGGCTCCCTATAAGTTACTGAGGCTGGCCTCAAAATTGAGATCCTCCTTCCTCACCCTCCCAAGCTGCTAGGATTACAGGAATATGTCCAATACCTGGCTATAGTTACTTTTAAGTATAAAATGAGGTTAGGATCTAGGTTTTTTTTTTTGTATGTATATTTTTTTCCAATCAAATATTTAGTTGTTCCTGTACCATTTATTGAAAAAACTATCTTTTAAATTTATTAAATTATCTTGGTAATTCCATTGCAGGTCACTTAGTACATATATATGTGTGTCTGTTTCTGGACTCTATTGTTTGCTTTACTCACCAAGTCTATGTTTACAGAAATACTACATTGTCTTGATACTCTAACTAGTAAATCTTGAAATCAGGTAATGTAAATCCTCTAATTTTGGTTTTTTCAGAAATTATTTTGACCATTCAAGATCTTTCACATTTTTACATAAATTTTAGATATAGCTTTTTAATTTCTACCAAAAAGGAATGTTGGAATTTTGAATGGAATTGCATAAGTCATTTCATAGAGTATTGACATCTGGAGAATTTTGGATCTTTCAATCCGTGAACTTGATATATCTTTTCATTTTTTTAAGTTTTCTTTAATTTCTCTTAACAGTATTTTTTAGTTTTTATTGTTCAGGTCTTACATTTTATAAAATTTAATCTTATATATTTTTGTTTTTAAAGGGCATTACTTCTTTAATTTCATCCCTCAACTGTTATTGGCATATAGAAATGAAATATTTTTATATTAACCTTGTATTCTGCAACTGCCTGGATTTCTTATTAGTTTTAGTAACTTTCTGGTAGATTCCTTTGTATTTTCTATAGATACCATCATGTCATCCGAAAATGGAGACAGTTTTACATATTGCTTTTCAATCTGGATGCCTTTTTATTTCTTTTTCTTGCCCCATTGACTAGGACAGGATCTCACTATATTGTTGAATAAAAGTGGTAAGAACAGATATTCTTTTTTTATTATTTTTTAATTTGTTCTAATTATTTATACATGACAGTTGAATTCATTTTGACACATTGTACACAAATGAAGCACAACTTCTCCTTTCTCTGGCTGTACATGGTGCAGAGTCATACTGGTAGTATAATCATAAGAACAGATATTCTTGCCGTATTTCCATTCTTAGGAGAAAAATTAGCCTTTCACAGATGTTGTCTCAAGAATTCCCTTTATCAAATTGAGTCATCCTAAGTAAGATCAGAAATAAAAGTAATAAATAATAAAATATTTATGATAAAATTACTTAAAGTGAATAAAATTGAAATATTTTTGCTCTCCACATGTTGCAAGGTTGATTTACTAATGTTTTGTTAGAGAGAGAGAGAGAGAGAGAGAGAGTGTGTGTGTGTGTATAAATTTTTCCATTTAAAGAACACCTTGTACAGGTAAATTGCAGTTGAATTGTTGTCTTTTTTTAACCCAGTCTGACAGTCTCTGCTTCCTAATTATAACATTTAGATTATTTACTTTTAATGTAATTATTAATTTAGTTGAGTCTACTGTGCTACAATTTGTTTTCTATTTGTTCTTTCTTTTGTCCTCATTTTGAAAAATTGAGTATTCTATTAAAGATTCCATTCTAATTCCATTGTTGGTTTAGTAGCTATATCTTTGTCTAAATAGTTGCTCTAGCTTGCAATATGTATCATAATTGATCACAGCCTATCTTCAGATAACATTATAGTATTTCATGTAGTATTCTTAAAATAATATTCTTTCATTTCCCCTACCATTCTGTGTATTACTATTGTCATGCCTTTTATATCTACATATGTTATACATGTTATACTTTTATTATTTTTCTTTTAAAACTTTAATTATAAATTATGAGACCAAAGGCTTATTACCCACAGATTTACCATTTCTATCACTTTTTATTTCTTGCTTGTCTGGGAAAAAAAAGAAAGAAGAAATTCTCACCTTTTTTGAAAGATGTTTTCACTGGTAAATAATTTTAAGTTGACCTTTTTTTTTCATATTTTAATGATGGTTTCCATTGTTATCTACGTTGCACTCTGTCCAGTGAATTAGTGTTAGTTCATTCTTTTTTAATACAATGAAATACATTACATTAATGTAATGTATCCCTTTTCTCTGCTTTTAGGAGTTTTCTCTCTATCATTGGTGTTTTGCAGTTTGGTTTAGTCTGGTTTTCCTTTTGTTTATCCTGCTTGAAGTTGTTGAGTTTCTTTAAACTATGGGTTTATAGTTTTAATTAAATTTGGAAGTTTTGGGCTATTCTTCAGATATGTTTTTGATTCTCACCTCTCTCCTCCTCTTCTATGACGCTGATTGCATGTATGTTTGGCATTGTGAAGCAGTCACTGATGTGCTTTTTAATTTCCCCCAGTCTTTTTCATCCTATGCTTAATTTTGGATAATTTCCATTTCTATGCCTTTAGATTTTCCTGTTCTTTTGTTCTAGAGAATATCTAATTGGTTAATCATCTAGTGATTTTTCATTTTTGAGATTGTACTCCAGTTTTATCCTGGTTTTATAATTATAGATATATCTTTTGTTTCTTGTTAAATTCATGTTTCTCTTTTAAATCTTTGAACACATTAATTATTAACTGTTTTAATGTTGTGCTAATCTGTCATCTCTGTCACTACCAAGTTATTTTCTTGCCGCATTTTTCATCTGATTATGGATTTAAATTAGTTTAATCTTTGCAATATCTGGCAATTTTTTAATGGGATGCTGAGTATTATAACTGTTAAATTGTTAGCTATTTGGATTTTGTTGTCTTCCTTGGACGAGTGTTAAAAATTTGTTTTGGGCGGATTATTTGCTGATAAGGTTAATATTTTTGTGGCTGTTATGTGGATATCTGTACCATACTCTAATATTCTTTATTATAGCATTAATTTACTCCTACTACCAGTAGGCATGGCCCTTCTGAAATCTTTATTCATTGCCCAAAATATTCCATGAGGTTTTTCTCTACTGGCTAGATGAAATTTAAATATCTCTCTCTCTCTCTCTCTCTCTCTCTCTCTCTCTCTCTCTCTCTCTTTGGTACCAGGCATAGAACTCAGGGGCACTTGACCACTGAGCCACATCCCCAGCCCTATTTTGTATTTCATTTAGAGAAAGGGTCTCATTGAATTGCTTAGGGACTCGCTGAATTGCTGAGGCTGGCTTTAAATTTGAAATCCTCCTGCCTTAGCTTCCCAAGCCACTGGGATTGCAGTCACACACCATGTTGCCCCACTAAATCTCTCCTAGCCTTAAGTAGGAGAGTGATAGATGATTTGGAGGGTGAGTTGAGTGCAATGCATGCAGACCAATTCTGAGGACCTATTTAAGAGGAACAATGAAGCCCTGAACCTAAATGGAGGCAATGTGAATAGAAAGAAGTAGGTTTGATGGGGAGACACTGGAAGATAAGGTTGTAAAGGGTGGGTTGTAAAGTTTGTTATAAAAAGAAGAATAATATAGTACTTCAGAATCCCAGCAGCTTGGGAAACTGAGGCAGGAGGATCATGAGTTCAAAGCCAGTAGGAGGAACTAGTCTGAAGAATATTTATCTATCTACTAAACCTGGATTGTACCCTAATTTTTTAAATTACATTTTAGAAGCAGGAAATTGGTGAGTTTGAATTTTTGGAGGATTTCATTAACACTTACTAAAAGAATACTCCCAAATTTTAGCAGAATTATAATTAAAGTTTAAATGAACCTCATCTCTCCTTGGGATTATGAAGCCACTGCTTATTCTTCTGGGTGCATAGGAATGCCCGATATTGCTAGTCTCATTGTATTTGACTCATTAAATTATAGTTGGTGCTGGTGCGAAGGTACAGTCGAGTACCCCTGAGTTCAATCCCCGGTACCAAAAAAATAATAATAACTGTAATTGGTAAGTTCAGGTCAAGTAGTATAAGTTTACTCTTTTAAGCTTTGTATTCTTAAATACTTTGTTGGGGGTTTCTTGGTTGGTTTTGTTGTGGTGGTGGTGGTGATGGTGGTGGGTTTTGTTGTTGTTGTTGTTTTTTGCCAGAGTTAGGGCATGTTCCTTTATACCACCCACAAAGGAAATATCAGATCTCTTAAAAATGAGAGGATAGATACCACATCCTGTATTTTCTCTATTTTAAGCCCTAGTATTTTAAGCATGTTAAAAGGGATAACTCTTTTTTATATAAATGGCTAAATTTGGAAGGTGTTAAATGATGGATAGTCTTGGGAACAGGAAGCCAGGAACAGACACAAAACGAAGAAAATCCAACTTGTATTCAGGGACAGTGGGCCTGTGAGAGAATAGTGATATGAGTAGTATTCAGTGGGTACCTACTATGTGCCAATCATTACCTTGGGTGCCTTAATTGTTTCTTTGTTTTGTTTTGTTACTTCTAACTGCTGTGTGTAGAAAATGATCTCTTTATTTTACAAATGGGGAAAATTAAGTTTCAGAAAAAGTAAGTCATATGTCTAACATTCCATAGCCAATAAGTGGAGAAATCAGATTTAGGAACTAGGTCTAATGCCAAATTCCATGTTCTTTCTAGTATTAAGAATGAAAAATAAGCCAGGTACAGTGGTATACACCTGTAATCCCAGGAGCTCGCAAGGCTGAGGCAGGAGGATCACAAGTTCAAAGCCAGCCTCAACAAAGGCAAGGCACTAAGCAACTCAGTGAGACATCCTGTCTCTAAATAAAGTACAAAATATGGCTGGGGATGTATCTCAGCAGTTGAATAGCCCTGAGTTCAATCCCCAGTACCAAAAGAATGAAAAATAAGTTAGGCTAGGCACCTGAAGGAATTAGGAGGTACATGAGACTAATGTGGAATGGTAGAGACATGATATGTATGAACTTGCCTTCTAGGACAAGTGTAGTGGTAAGCCTTTGTCCTATAAGTAAATGGGAGACAGCAATTAAGACATGGCCTGTAGTTGAGTAGGCATAGTGCTGGATAAGAAATTGAGACACAAATCCAGTGGTCCTCAGCAACTCACTCATTTTTAAGTCTTAGTTTCTTTTATCTAGGAGGCAATAGTGGATGATTTCTGAAATGCCTTCTACCATTGATTTTTTTGTGATTATTTAGATTCTATGGGAACTGAAGCCTTGATTTGATGTCTAGGTATAAAAAAAAAATTCAGTTGCAAAATAGTAATAGAAATAACTAACATTTAGAGATGCCTTCATGGTGTGCCAGGTATTGAACCTAAATATAGGTATTTTTCATGCATTTATCTCACTTAGTTCATAGAGCAGCCATGAAAGCACCAGATACTGTCACTGTCTCCATTTTATAGATGAGGAAATGATGCATAGAGATTATATAAGCTATCATGCAGTGGCAGACTCAAACTCAGGACTATCTGACTTACAAGTTGATGTTCTTTGTATCATACTAAATTTATATTATGTTAAGGCTATAAAAGTGAAGAAATTTTTTTCCCTCCCCTTTTAAAATTTCTTCTAATATAGTAAGGGCTTCTGTATATCACATTTTAAAATAAAAAATGATCAAGTACTTACTTTACTGTCAAATATACTAAAATGTAATTTTTCCAGATTTTGAAGATTCCTTCTATGAATTGAAGTTTTATTATTAGAGAAACTGTAATTTAATCCCTTTTGAATTGGCTATTTTCTGCTAGTGGTTTCATGTTGCTCCCCTTGCCTCTAGCATATAAGTTAAGGTGAGAACTCTTAAAAACAGTGTTAAATAGATTGATAAGGAAGAAATAAGAAATTTGTTCCAATTCATTTAAAATTTTAAGAACATAGTTTTATTATCACTAAGCAATATATTTTTAGATAATGTGTAATTAAATTTTATGGTTGTCATTTTTTTTAAAATTTTTTGTTGTTTGATGGACTTTATTTTATTCATTTTTTTATATGCAGTACTGAGAATCGAACCCAGTGCCTCACAACTGTGAGGCAAGTGCTCTACAACTGAGCCACAACCCCAGCCCTGTGGTTATCATTTTTACCTTGGAAGTTCTCTTTTTAAAGAAATCTTGAGAGAGACTAACGGTTGTACTAGAACATGTTAATAAAGATCAGTAGAGAAGTTATCTTGTCTCATGTCTCTTTGGTTTCCTACTTTTGAAAAACTAATTTCATCAATTTTTTTCTGTAGCCCAAGAAACTGAAATGCACTGGTTCATTTCATGGTATCTCCTCTTTAGATGTCTGCTCCAATGAGGATCTCCCTGAAGTTGAGCTGGTGAATCTGCTAGAAGAACAGCTACCACAGTATAAGCTAAGAGTAGACTCACTCTTTCTGTATGAAAATCAGGACTGGACACAGTCGCCACAGCACCAGCACCATGCATCTGATGCCCTCTCTCCAGTCCTTGCTGAAGAGACTTTCCGTTACATGAGTGAGTATTTTATTTATTTGTTTGTTTTACCTATTTAGAATCTGACCAGTACTAGAGGGAAAAAGAGAGAATCATGAACTGAAGTCAGTTTCCATGCATATATAAGTTTGTCAGAATGAACCCAACTACTATGTATAATTGTAAAGCTCTAATAAAAAAATGGGAAAAGAAAAATAGAGTCTGTCCATGGAAATGAAGATCATGAGTATCTTGGTATTGACTTCTGAAACATTTGACATTTAGTAGCATTGCTTGCTGTATACCTGCTTTAATTCTAACCGATTTAACAGAAAGGTTATCATCCTTTTGATGCTGAGTGGCCAGCATTGCAAGTATGCTTTTGTTTCTTTCCTCTTTTACTTGATATCTTCCTCAGACTGAATAGAAAAGAGAACTTTTTAAAAAAGTAGTGAAATTTTTAAAAATTTTAATATCCCTGTGTACATCAACTTTTATTATCCCAATAGTGTGCCATTAGCTTTGTAAAACACAGTCCCAGAAATTTTCAGTCATTAAGGAGCACAATTCATAGATACATAAGTAATTTGATCAAGCCAAGGAGAAATACATGTACTACCATATAGTAAGCATCATTATTTTCTTAAGAATCTAGAGAGTATAGTTCTTTGAGAGGGTAAGCCTAATTTGTTCTGAAATAGTTCTGCTTTATACCAACCTGCCAGAAATGACAAAATTAAATAAAGGAGTTTTTAAACTTTGAAGTATGGAAACCTCTTCCCATTTGTTCTTCTCCCACAGTTCTACATTAAGGCTAAGCTTTTTCTTTTCCTTTTTTTTTTTTTCTTCCCATTTACTTAATTCAGTATAAAAATGTTGTGTGCATAGAAGCTGTTAGAATTTAAAAGGAAAGTCTAAATTCATTATTGATATGTTTGTGAACTTCTTTTAATTTAAACTAAATGAGAGATTTCATCAAGTGCTAGACATTTTTCCCAGTGAGTGCTTCAATGTTTTTAATGAAAGATTGTTGCTGGAGAATAATTGTTATGAAAGTTTCAATTCCATAGTAATCATTAACTAACTGGTTTTTACTGGTAGTTTCCTAGAACCACAGTCTCTTATTTACTTCTTGTAGAACTTATTGCCCAGGGGGAATAATTATAAACATTGTTTAAACTTGAATTGAAATATCACAAAACCCAAATAAAACTGTATTTCTGTCCGTAAGTTTTCTTTTAAGTAGCTGAATTACGTTAAACTAAAGCTCTCATGGTTTTTGTTAAGTTTTTATTTGAGAAATTTAGTTTGTCATTATTTTGATAAAATAACACAAACAGCCTTTTATTTTAATGTTTTTTGTACTTCAGGCCATGAAGAGGGAAGGGTGGGCTAGAAAAATGACACAGGATCATGTTTTAATGACGTCTCTTCTAGAACAATTTTAAATTGACTAGAAATAAAATGTAAAGAAATTCTAAAATACTTCTCAAGACTTTATACAAAATGACCAAGGAGCAAAGTTTTCAACTTGAGATTATTAATGGGATACAGGTCTGTACGTCAAGGTTCTGAAAAAGTATTCTATTCCTTTAGTCTAGGGTACTATTTTCACTTCAACAAATTTGAAAATTGAACTATAAATAATATACCTAAGATCAGGAAATAAATAGGCTATGTTTTTTTTTTTTTTTGTACCAGGGATTGGACTCAGGGACATTCAACCACTGAGTCACATCTGCAGCCCTATTTTGTATTTTATTTAGAGACAGGGTCTCACTGAGTTGCTTAGTGCCTCACTGCTGCTGAGGTTGGCTTTGAACTTGTCTGAGCCTCCAGAGCTGCTGGGATTATAGGCATGCACCACCGCGCCCATCTACTAATCTATGATTTTAATTGTCATAATATTTTTTTCTCTGTACTGTAATTTCACTGATTTTAAAGGTATCAATTCTTTGGGTTAATAATTCAATCAAATGTAAATAAACTTCATTATGGATTTGCATCCAATGAATGTAAAAAATAAGTGATTCATTTTATTTAGCAATTGAGCAAAGTTTGACATGTAAAACATTCTTCTACCCTTTCTCAGAATTTTCTATCCCCCTGAGAAATCAAAATTTATTATTATTACATACCCTGGCAGGACATCTAGGGTTCTGCTCCCTCGTGCTGCTTTAGCTCCTTATCTGTACTCACTCCTCTCCTGTTGCAATGGGTACTTGTGCTCAATAAAATGAAATTTTAATAACTAATACAAAAAAGTAGCTGGCATGGTGGCACTCGCCTATGATACTGCTGGTTACCTTGACAAGTCCTTGCTTCCCCAAATGCTGAAGTATAACACGAGAGAAGCAGGAGAGTAGAAAGCAAAAGGCTTTATTGAAGGATAGCAGAACAGACTCCCCCACCCCCACCCCCAGGATGCAGGGGATCCAAAAGGTGGAATCTGTGGGATGAGGAAGTCCCATCCCTTTTATATCTAAGGTTTTCTTTATCCTTCTACATTCCTGTCCTTTATCTTGCTTATTTCCCTTTATCCTCCTGTTGGAGGATGCAGGTGGGAAGGCCAAAAGGTGGGAAACTGTTGGGCCAATGTGGGGGTGGTGTGGGGCTTAGGCTGAATTGATTAGCACCTCCCTATCTGCTGGGAGTTGCTTCATTAACAGTTCTTTAGGATGGTCCAGGGGACCCTGGGGACAATAACATTTCAATCTCCCAGGTGCAGTTTCTGATTTCCCAGACTCAGATAGACTCCATTTTCTTTATTAGACTCAAGTCTATTTTTCTCTGTATCAGACCCAATTTACCTAGCTACACTAACTACCTATCTTTAAATCTGGCGTCACCTATAATCCCAGTGGCTTGGGAGCCTAAGGAAGGAAAATCGCAAGTTCAAAGCCAACCTCAGCAAAAGAGAGGTGCTAAACAACTCAGTAAGACCGTCTCTAAATGAAATACAAAATAGGGCTGAGGATGTGGCTCAGTGGTCTAGTGCCCTTGAGTTCAATCCCCAGTACAACCACTCCCCCACATACACACACAAAAAAAAGGGGTGGCACAGGCAAAGGCACTTCCCCTAGTATAACACAAAGAATTAGAGCTGTGAGAATAGTGATTTAGTAGGAAACATTTGGGTTTAGGAGCCTATGTCACATGAATGAAGGTCTATGAAGTCATCCAGACCAGAAATAGATTATTTATTTTTAAAATAGAATGCTTGATCTAGGTATGGTGGCACATGCAAGTTGCAGGCTAGCCTCAGCAACTTAGTGAGACCCTGTCTCAAAAAATAAACAGGGGTGGGTATGTAGGTCAGTGGTAAAGTGCCCCTGGGTTTCACTCCTAGTACCAAAATAAATAAATAAATAAATAAATAAAATGCTTGAGAGCTGTGAGTGGGCCCAAAAAATAATGCCTCGTCACTTACAAAACTCAAGATGCTTAATGAATGTATTACTGTGCATGCAGGTTACTCCAGGTGTTTCCTTATCTTTTTACAGGTAAGCCCTAGCTATGATGTTAGCTGTACAATAAAAACACATAAGGTATAGAAAGAACCTTGTTCATGTAAAAGCTAAAAATAAAAACCTGATGTGCCTTTCTGGAGATTTTATTTGGGAATCACTCTCTAAGGCATAAGAAGAGGGAAGGGGCATGGGATTTATTATATATAAGTTTTATTTGAGTAATTAAGAACAGACTAGGGAAGAAGAGCACGAGAGGAAGACCATCATTAAACAAGGAGGAGAGGTGGGAGGGAAAGGGAGAGAGAAGGGAAATTGCATGGAAATGGAAGGAGACTCTCAGGGTTTTACAAAATTACATACAAGAGGAAGTGAGGGGAAAGGGAAAAATAATACAAGGGGGAGGAATGAATTACAGTAGTGGGGGTAGAGAGAGAAGAGGGGAGGGGAGGGGAGGGGAGGGGGGATAGTAGAGGATAGGAAAGGCAGCAGAATACAACAGACACTAGGATGGCAATATGTAAAGCAATGGAAGTGTAACTGACTTGATTCTGCAAGCTGTATACGGGGTAAAATAGGAATTCATAACCCACTTGAATCAAAATGTGAAATATGATATATCAAGAACTATGTAATGTTTTGAACAACCAACAATAAAATTAAGAAAAAAAAAAGTTTTATTTAAGGCAGCGTTTCCCAAATGTGAACCCTGCCGTCCACATCACTTGATAACTCATTAGTAATGCAGATTCTTGAGCCCCTAATCCACCTACAGAAACTCCAGGGGTGAGACACAGCACTCTGCTTCAACATATCTTCCTGGTAATGCTGATGCACTGTTAAATTTGAGAAGCACTGATACAAAGCATTATAAACCAAAGCTAATGACCTTTTTTACAAGGACCTTAATTAGAAAATTAAGGAATTAGGGAGAATATAAAACTTTGCAGAGAAATACACTTGTAGAAATTATTACTTCTTATTGGTACATGCACTTTCCTTTGTGTTCTGCCCTCTAAAGCCATTAACGGTATGGAAATGACTGATAATGTTCAGAAAACATTAATTATGAGCCAGGTCCTAGAGATTAGCAGAGTTACAATCCCTCTAGATCAACCCTCTCATTTTCATGAGAAAAATTTAGCTATATGTCCAAATACATCTCAGTTTTTATATTACAGTTTTTTATATTGTAGAAATGTTTGAACCCAGGGCCTCACACATGTTAGGTAAGCACTCTACTACTGATATGTCTCCAGTCCTTTTTATTTTATTTTGAGACAGGGTCTCCCTGAGTTGCCCAGGCCAACCTTGAACTTGTGATATTCCTGCCTCAGTCTCCCAAATAGTCAGAACTACATGCAGTCACTTCTTTAGGGTTAAAACCACAAGACCTGCTTATAGTTGTCAGAAACTGTTTTACTATGCAAGTGGTAGGTTTTTTTCTTTTTTTTTTTTTTTTTTTTTTTTTTTTTTTTTGCTTTGCTAGGGATTGAACCCAGGGCCTTGTGCATGCCAGGCAAGCACTCTACCAACTGAGCTATATCCCCAGCCCTTTTTTGTTTTTTGTTTTTTTGATTCAGTTTTGGGTTTTGGTGAGGGAAGGTTGGAGACTGATGAAAGATTAGAGTTCTTTTTAAAATTCAGAAATTATGATAAGAACCTATCTTGGAAGGGACATATTAAAGAATTATTGAGCACCTCATATAAATGACAATTCAGAATGGAGTAACATTGGTGTTTCCCATCCTGAAAAAAAAAGATGAGAATGGATTAGACAGGGATGGAACACAGAAAGTAAGGATTAGTGAAGCTCTTCTATGTACTAGCCCCCCACACCATATTTTCAGAAACATTAGATTTTCCAACTATTATACTCAAAGTGTGAACATTAACAACTCTCAGAAACCAAGTGGCAAAATTGTTCCATAAAAATGTTTATTATCTTCCTGATGTATAAATATATATATATATATATA